ATTGGCATCAAGACTTTGGACAGGTCATTTCTACTTTTTTTTTTTTTCCTGTTTGCTATGAAAAACAATAGTTTGTACTGATTTTTCACTGCTTGATTCTACATACCTTTTCATATTTTGATAGTTTAACATTGTTGAAATGTCATTGAATGACAATTGGAATCCTACTGGTTATTATTCACTGTGAATATCTAAAGAGAAAATAATGTGTTGGTAAGTTAAAACTGAATGTATCAGTAGATTAAGTCCACTACATCCACATTTAACGATGTACCTTGACTTACGTGCAATCATTGGTGATGCTATTCAAGAAGTAAATAATGAGTTTTACTGTAATTGTAGTAAAAACATGACTAATGTTTCATCTTTAGGAATTCCCACACTTGAAGATTTGTGTAGCAAAATTAGGACTTTCATCTGTTTTAGATTCCATCTTATCACACAACTTTTCGATTGATTTTCATTCTGTTGTAAAGTACTGTATCGGCTAATAACCTTCCTTTTTTTAAATACAATACCAAAATTAATGTGTTCCACTTACATTTAGCCCTTCTTGACCTTGACCTTCACCATCAATGACAGCAGCAGGGTCGAAGTTGAGGTCACTTAAATCAGCAGCATGAGAAAGTGGGTTATCATTAGTCACTGATGGAGGTTGGCTACTGGCTGGATTTGAACTGTTGCTATTACTATTAATACCATTAGTTTCAACACTACTCCCATTAGGTCCCACAGTTGAAGGAGGAGGAATACTCGGAGGTCCTCCATTACCTGGAGTGTGAGGTGTGTGAGGAGTATGAGGCCCGTGTTGCATCATGCTTTGGCTCTGTGTAGATGATGGGGTAGGTGGGGCGTACTGTTGATGGCTGGAAGATGGTTGAGTTTGGCTGGTCCCAGGAGCAGAAGAGTTTGTCAGATGGGTCATCTGTTGGCTATTCTGATCATGTATGTTAGGAGGACACATTTGCTATGAATGAAACAGAAAATAAAATTAATATTAAAAAAAAACGAAGTAAATTCTTACAATTGTATTACAACTTTCAATTACACATCATTATAAAAAAGTTAACCTAATGAGCAAGATGTGGCAAAACAAATACATACTTATACCTGTGACAACGTAGGTATATATTCCATGAGGAAGTGAAGGAGGGTACTATACCTGTGACAACATAGGTGTATATTCCATGAGGAAGTGAAGGAGGATACTATACCTGTGACAATGTAGGTGTATATTCCATGAGGAAGTGAAGGAGGGTACTATACCTGTGACAACATAGGTGTATATTCCATGAGGAAGTGAAGGAGGATACTATACCTGTGACAACGTAGGTATATATTCCGTGAGGAAGTGAAGGAGGGTACTATACCTGTGACAACATAGGTGTATATTCCATGGGGAAGTGAAGGAGGGTACTATACCTGTGACAACATAGGTGTATATTCCATGAGGAAGTGAAGGAGGGTACTATACCTGTGACAACATAGGTGTATATTCCATGAGGAAGTGAAGGAGGGTACTATACCTGTGATAATGTAGGTGTATATTCCATGAGGAAGTGAAGGAGGGTACTATACCTGTGACAACGTAGGTGTATATTCCATGAGGAAGTGAAGAAGGATTGGTATTTTTATTTTTGATTTAAGGAATGTTCATTTGATTGTAAAACTGTTCCAATTCGATTCTGTGACATTTATGTAGTGAAGGTCTTTCGTATACAGAGCGTTTAACTTGCAAATTCTTAACAAACCCATAAAACATCTTGATTTATTGCTTAAAAAATGATTCAAACAGAAAAAGAATAGATGTAGAAAGTTTCTTACACAAGGTTCAAAATTACATACAATGCTAATGCTATGTTTATAATAGTAAAAATGTCTTAACTTGTTCTTGATCTAATTATTATGACCCATGTGGTAATAAAAAAACATTACAATTAATCACAATACGAATCTTCTATACTATAAAGTATAAACACTGTTAATTATGTAATGCAGCATTTCCAAAATTTTTGTCATCCATGCCACCTTTAATAAATAGGGTTTCTTGCACCCCCACCTCTGATGAGATATAATACACGATACGCATTAAAAATATTATATGTGTTGTAGTAATTACTTATTATTGTCATTAATAAAAAATATATTAAAATGTTTAATTTTGCATTATTGCACTCATGACTTTACCCTAATCCAGAGATCATTTGTGCCCTCTGGGGGGCATACACCACCCATTAGGAAATTCTGATGTAATGGATAATATTTATACTTGGTAAAGCAAGCAGGGTTAAACTTGATTCAGATTTTTATAAATCAATTACTACAAGAAATACAAAAGTTTAGATAAAATAATAATAAAAAATGAAGTGGAAAACAGTTACCTGTTCATGCTGGTTTAGAGATTTTTCCATTGCAGCAAGAGGGTCTAAAGAGGCAACACTATCATTAAGATGAGCAAGTGGACTTCCAAAATCAGAAGGAAAGTCATAACTTCCATTCATTCCTCTATAAGTCATGCCATTCGGAAGAGTGGGGCCATTGGCTATAGCTGAAGTTGGAGGAAGCAAGAAAACCATCTTGTTCTGATAGACTTTATGGAGAAAATATCATTATACTACAGAAACAAATTGTAATTTACTGCTCATGTTTGAAATACTGAGAAACTCACAATAGCTCCAATAATCTAAAATCAAAAACTGTCTAAAGGATAAAGGTAATCCTATCACAATCTAGAGGTTAAAGTTCATTCTATCGCAAGCTGTCTAAAAGATAAAGGTAATCCTATCACAATCTAAAGGTTGAAGTAATTCTATCACAAACAATCTAAAGGTTAAAGTAATTCTATCACAAACACTCTAAAGGTTATGGTAATTCTATCACAAACAATCTAAAGGTTAAAGGTAATCTCATCACAATCTAAAGGTTGAAGTGAATTGCAAACAATCTAAAGGTTATGGTAATTCTATCACAAACACTCTAAAGATTAAAGTAATTCTATCACAAACAATCTAAAGGTTATGGTAATTCTATCACAAACAATCTAAAGGTTATGGTAATTCTATCACAAACACTCTAAAGATTAAAGTAATTCTATTACAAACAATCTAAAGGTTATGGTAATTCTATCACAAACAATCTAAAGGTTATGGTAATTCTATCACAAACAATCTAAAGGTTATGGTAATTCTATCACAAACAATCTAAAGATTAAAGCAATTCTATCACAAACACTCTAAAGATTAAAG